TGATCATCCATCCGTGGAAATCATGGATAAAGGAAACACGGAGAGTTAACTGTAATAAAAAAGAATAATAAAAGATAGTAACCATTCAGTTGAGAAATGACAGCAGTGGGAATAGAGTAGTCAGCTATTTAAGACATGATGCCAAACATTATGGTTTTATTTTCTGATTAGACATGGAGAACATAAAAGTGGTAAAAAGAGATAAGTTCCTATTTGGTACATTTTATGAGGCACATTAATTAAGAAGAGGTACGATTAGAAAAAAAAGGAGACTGTGAAATACTTGTGAGACAAGTGAAGTTTCAAGTTAGACCTCGTGAGAAGACTGAAATTGGTAGAGTAATTAATTGTCACAACGGACCCATGAAGTGAAGGACATTAAAAGGAAAAAGCAGAAGAAATCTAATAGCTAGTGATATTTAAAAAACAATAAAATCAGGAAAATGTGTCTTATCAATAGAAAAAAATATTAAAAGGGGGTATAATACATTGATGTCACCAGTAACCCACAATGATTTCTTCAACAAACGACTAGAGCTAAGCCCAGTATTTAGGAAGCAGAATCAGACAGATCTGAGTCTGAGGCCTGCTAGGGTTACACAGAGAGACACTGCCTTAAAAGAAAAAAAAAAGAGTGGTGTGGCGGAGGAGACAGCTCAGTGAAGAGCATATACTGACTTCTCTTGCAATGGATGGACCATTGAGTTCTGTCCCAGCACCCATCCTGGGTGGCTTACAAATGCCTCTAACCTCAGCCTCAGGGAAATCGGATGCCTCTGGTCTCCAGGGGCACCTTCACTCAGGTGCAAATAACCATACTTGCATACACACAAACACATAAGTAAAGTAAAAAAGACTGAATAAACTACAAACATCATTTAGGAAAAGAGAATAACTTCATTTCAAGGAAGATGATCACAGCAAACAATCATAAGCCTTTCACTAACATGTTAAATACTATTCTGGTTCCAACTACTTCATGTGGTATAATATGTGTATGACTAAAAACCTTGAACATCACAATGGCTACTTTCTCTTATCATTGGATTTAAAGCATAACTGAGTAAAAAGTTATTATGAAATCAATACTGCTCTTAAACTAATGCATGTTCATCAGCACAACTTGGATACCATGCTTAATGTGTATTTGTTAGTCCTCTGAGGTAGCTCAAATCTAGAGTGAAGTGTCATGGATAAAGCAAGAAATCTTCCAGTTTTGAAAATCTGGAATTCAAGCTTGAAAAAACTACTGGAACAAGATGGAACACTGGTAAATTTTACAACTGCTTAAATGGAATATGGTTTCATACTTTAGTTCAAACTGAGAAACAATCAACCCTCAGTCATGTTTTCTCTTTAAAGATACCTTGAACTTCTGATTACTTAAAACCAACATGAATAGCTTTGCATTTTTCTTCCAAGTTTTTGCCTCCTTATAAAAATGATACTTGGAATATGGTCCACATCACACACAAAGACCTAACCCAATAGACAGAAACACTGTAACATCTCTAGTTCATTTTGCATTTGGGCAAACATAAGCCCCAAGACAAAACTAACCAGGCTTTCCATTAACTCCAATACTGAACCCTGAATAGATATTTGTTGGTTCCTTAATTCTCTTTAAAATGTTGATATGGCTCAGCTGGAGAAATAACATTGCATTAGAAACCTTTTAGTTTTCCTTCAAATACAGAGCAATTCCTCCAACCACAGGTAATACACAATTTAGATGAGCAGCCACTTAGACTCTGACACTCATAGTGACTCTAAGGAAAATCAGTTTTGAAAGACAAAAATAGTCTTCAATACTTATTATTACCAACAGCTAAGAGCATAATTACATTAGAAAATACGAAGGTTTTTAATATTGCCTTGCTGAACAATAATTTAGTAATTCCAAGATAGATTTCACACATCCCTAAATTCTACATGGTGTGCTAAGAAAATGTAATAATCATTTTAAAGCAGTTCAAGTTACACAGAGAAGTCAACAGAAGTCAGATCAATCATCATTATTCCTGATAAAAACTATAAACCATTTATAAAATATGAAAATCATTAGTACTGCTGTAGACAATGCTGCAAAATTAAAAAGAGAATTTAAAGAAATCTAAATTCTGAAAGAGAATTTACTAATTCTTTCAAAACCAATAGTAAAAGCATGCCTGGAATAGAGGATGTAGCTAAAACTACAGTGTGATGCTAAAACAGTTTCATATGTAAAACTACTCTTATTTCATGTTAATTGTGTATGTGTGTGCTCACTTACGTGCACCCAAGTGCAGGTGCCCGTGTAGACTGGAGGAACTGAACCCCCTGGAGCTGGTATTACAGCATGAGCTGTTAGGCCCGGGTGCTGGGAATCAAACTCCTGTACGCTGCTAGAGTACTAGCACTATTCACTGTTAAGCCACTTCTTCAGGCCAGCTCCCTTATTTTTAACTTAGTTTCATTTATGCTTACTACAGAACCAACAACTTTTATGTAACTTTCATTTACCTACTAATCCAGATTAAAATTACATAGAAATTTTATATATGAAATTTTCACATGTACAAAATTTCATATATACAGATGGATAACCAAGTCAAAAACGACAATGGATAACCAAGTCAAAGAATCTCCTTGACAACCACTTTCACTGGTACTCACAATCTAACCAGAAACAAGCACTTAGAAGTTGCTTTTGCTAAAAATACACTTAAAACTTCACTTTGGCCAAAAAGGTGACTGAAAATATGATAAAAGCCTAACATCTCTGCACTCATTTTGTCTGTCACATTCAGTTCAACTAAACACAGAGCATTGTCCTTAACCTTTTTCCTTGAGTCACCTTGGAGTCCAGTAAGAATAAAACTTCAGAGGACAGAGCACCCTTCAGATGAAGGTAATTACCCTTGTCCGAACCAGATTAATCCCTTTAGGAACCCTTCACCCCAGCCCTCCCATCACCTCTCTAACTGGATCAGATTGGAGACACAGGTCAACCACATTACTTCTTAACCAGGGCTGGCTAATTATGTACACCACCTGCCTGGTTCTTCCTCTACTTAAACCTTAAGTTCATGTGTACAGCCCAAAGACAAACTCAGGGGTTACAGGAACCTTTTATTTGTCCCTCTTTCCAGTGTGGCCACACTAAATCAATCTCTGAAGCCGGCTTCTTGGGGTTGGGTAGTCCAGCATAGTTTGCTCCCGCTGCCAGCGCCCAGGCTTTCATCCTAAACATTTTTATTGCTGGATAAAATAGAAGGGACTTATTATTTTAATCCTCTTAGCCTACTAGGATGACAGTAAGATAAAGTGGACTCACCGATAACAATGCTCCACAGGCCAATTTACAATGACATCTCCTCAGTTCTTAAAAATCACAGTTCCCTCCAATATAGGAATTTCTAGTTAGAAACAAGCTATCTAATTTCCCCATAGGAGAGAACAAATGGCTTTCTTTTGGGCTAGTACAGTGACTCACACATGGTAAGTACTATTCCTATAGCCATAAATCAGAACCTGTGAAGCTACTTGGTAAAAAAATAAATGAATAAATAAATAAATAAAATGGGTCTTCAGTCCGGATGGAATGAAAACGACTGCCATTCATTTTTTTTTTTCTCATGAACGTAAGTGTACATGGGTTGCACGAGTATAAAGAATTTACTTGTGTATGTACCTGGAATTATTTACCGGTAAGTCTCTCTCTGCTAATACCACCATAAAACTACAGACCCGGACAAATGTCCCTTAGCTCACTCAATCTCAGGCCATGCCAATTCTCCACACAGCTGTCAGATTTGTCAAAAAAGATTTAGTAGTCAAATCACCAGATCAGACAGAGCAATCCATCACGCCAATGCCCGTTCTGACATCAGAGACTATCAAACATATCAGCCTTGGACACACGTATACAAGCGTCCAAGTGAAACAGAAAATCTTAAGATGCTTCCAGACAAAGTGTGCGGGTGTAGGGGAGCCACCACTACTTTGTTCCTTAGAAGCTGGCTTATTTCCTATATATAAAGCTACCTAATGAGTTTTCCCAATTTTGTCCTGTAGTGGCTCACCTACCCCCTTGCAAAAGAGGAATGGCTCGTTAGTTATTAAACGGTTCTTAGGGAAGTGCCTGCCTTGGGAAATCACAGGAACAACGCACGTCGCAAGTCCGAATCGTTCGTGAAATTTGCCTTTCTTGGCTTAACAGGATTATTCTATCTGTTCGTCGTGTCCTCCGTACCTACACCACGAGGGATAAATGCTGTGTCACTGAGAAGAAAAGCAAAAGGTTGTCTGTTGGATCCCAGAGGAGATGGGTAAAGAGAAATCTCTACGCTAGCCTGCCAGGAGCTGCTACTCCCACTCCCTCCCTCCAAAGGCAACCAGAAACGACTCCAAAGTCCTCTGCGGCCACTCGGCCGTTTCCGACCGGTGGGAGGGCCCCTCGGCCGCACAACGGGTGAAGGGAAAGCTGCATCCGCTCG